GTCACCGCAGACCCAGACACCTGCGAAATCACTCCAGGAACCAGCCTCTGTGCCGATGCCCGTCCGCGCATCAATCCGCACCACAAAGCGCGTCGATTACCGGCAACTTTACGAGACTGGTAAACAAGTCCCCACTGATCTGTCTCCTACCGCCCAGGCACACATGGCCTTTGCCGCCGCCGATTTTGACAATCCACGGAATATCGAGGAGGTGCGGCAGCGGGAGGACTGACCGCAATGGAATGCGGCCATGGATGCGAAGAGGACACAGCTCAAGGCCCGAGGGTCTTGGGAGCTGGGGGACTTGCCAGAGGGACAAAAGGTGGTCGGATGCCACTGGGTGTACGCAATCAAGCGCGACACTGACGGCTCAATCATCAAATACAAGGCGCATCTTGTCACGCAAGGCTACTCACAAATCCCCAGACAGGACTATTTTGCGATCTATGCACCAGTCGTGCAACTTGAGTCTTACCGCATTTGTGCCGCTATCACCACCGTCTCTGATCTGGACAACGACACCATAGACTACGAAGACGCCTACCTCAACGGCACACTTGAGGAACCCATCTACATGCGCCAAGTGCCCAGCTACGATGACAGCTCTGGGCGCATCTACATCATGATCAAAGCAATTTATGGCCTGAAACAGGCCGGCCGCGTCTGGAATGATTTGCTAAATCATGTCCTTGTCACCCTCTTGGGCTTCACGCGCTCAACTGCAGACCCGTGTGTATACTACAAACCTGCTACGTCGCTAACAATTGATGTGGACTTGCGTCGACACACCATGAGGGATACTGTGTGGATCTAAACAGAAGGCGGCACTGACGAGGTCTGGCGACTAGTGCGTTAGCTTATTCAGCTAGCCCAATTAACCAAGTGTATTAGCGATCTGTACTACGATACAAGTGAAGGCTTACCTAGCCCAATTAACCAAGAGGTTGAGATGGGGCTAGGTAGCAACAAAGGGGAGCCTTATATACTAGTCAGGTTGCGCACAGACCAGGCTTACATAAGCGACTGGTGCTACGGCGACTGCTAGTGTCTAGGGGACTTCAGGCAGGGAAACGAGGGCCGGTGTGTCATACCGTATGACGTTGTCGGGCCGACGGGGATAGGAAGTCCGTTGCCGATCGGACTCAGAGATAGATGGGGCCGGTGTGTCATGGCTTATGACGTTGTCGGGCCGACGGGGATCGAATGTCCGATGGAGATCGGAGTGCGGCTGTTACCAAGGAAGCATGATGCGGCGACGAGGCGGCGGCGATGCGGGCGCATTTGATGCGCTGATGCGTGCCCGTCGGTGATGCGTTCTCGAGGTGTTTAGCGCGCGGCTATGGCTTGTAAACTGGCGCCTATGCGCCGACGACGTTTGGAGGGTCGTATAATCGTGGAATAAATTGGAGAAAATAGGAATAAAATAGGAGGCCGGGGCTACGCCCACCATAACAATGGCATTGCTCCATGTAGACAACACCACACTGTACGGAAAGTGCAAGGCACTCAATGATCTCAAAGCCGAGATTGCCAAGCATTTCTCCATCACCTCCTTGGGAGATCTCAGAACCTTCGTCGGTCTTCAGATTGATCGCAACCGGGCTGCCCACACTTTCACCCTCCATCAGACACACTATGTCCAGACCATCCTCGAACGTTTCGGGATGCAGGACTCCAATCCTGTCGCCACACCGCTTGACCCAAATGTCAAGCTCGTGCCGCTCTCTGACAGTGAGGTGCCCGTTGATGTGCCCTATGCCGCCGCCATCGGCTCCCTTATGTACGCCGCTGTTGGCACCCATCTGGACATCGCATTCTCTGTCCAGACGCTATCCCAATTCACCACGCGCCCCTCTCCCACGCATTGGACAGCCGTCAAGCATGTCCTCTGCTATCTCAAGGGCACTGCCGCCCTCAGTCTCACTTACGGTCCTGACATCAAGGGTCTAATCGGGTACTCAGACGCCAATTGGGCCCAGTCCCTTGCTGACCGCCGCTCCGTCTCCGGCTATGCTTTTCAGTTCGCCAGCGGCATCATCAGCTGGAGCTCGAAGAAGCAGACCACCGTCGCCCTTTCCACGATGGAAGCCGAGTACATTACTCTTGCGCATGCTGCCAAGGAAGCTGTCTGGCTCCGCCGCCTTCTCGCCAAGCTTGGCACTTCCTCGGACTCTCCCACAACTGTTCACACGGACAATCAATCCGCTATCGCATACGCACATGACCACCAATTCCACGCCCGCTCAAAACACATTGACATCCGGCATCATTTCCTCCGCGATCTCATCAATGCCGGTACTATCTCCGTCATTCACTGCGTCTCCGAAGACAACGCCGCCGACATGTTTACCAAGGTGCTCGCTCGCCCTACTCACACCCAGCAGCTCTCCCTCGTGAACATGACTGCTCGTTGAGAGGGAGTGTTGTAGTATCTGAGGCGCCGGATGCGCATCAGCCGCGCCGGCAGAGATACCGACATGACGCGCTTAGGCTGTCATGCCCAATATGGATCTGTCATGCCCGTTTTAGATATGACCCGCGCAGAGCACTCTCGGCTCTGTGCCCCATTATGTTTCCTTGCAGTCTCAGCTTTCTAAGGTACATTTTATTGGTCTGACCAGATTAGGAAGTAGATAAACTATATAAGAACATGTAGTATTATTCTAGGAATTTATCCTTGATTACTCGTGAATCCCCCGCCTGCGCAAAGTCTTTCACAACAGATGTTGTGCTCATGAGCACAACCAAACTGCACGGCTCATTTACAATTTCTCCACATTCAAGCACTGCATCTGCAATCAACTCACCTTCCTTGTACTCATGATCTAGGTGACATTAAGGAGTTTCTGTGCATGCGCATACAACGAGTTGGCAGTAAGATCATCATTGATCAAACAGCCTACCTAGACAATGTACTCAAACAATGCAGCCAGACAAATGCCAAACTGGCTAAAACTCCACTTCCCGAAGGTTACATACCAGAACCCCATGAAGAAGCAGTCAACGCTGCTTGCCGTAGCCACTATCAAGTGGTTATTGGCTCGCTCCTTTACATCATGCTCAGAACCAGAACGAACATCGCATTTGTGGTCACCAAGCTCGCACAATACAGCACAAACCCCAGTGAAGACCACCTGAACTGTGCATTATATACTCACTGCTATTTTAGGGCACTCGCGAATACATGCTCAAATATGATGGTGCTTCCAGACTTGGTCTGGTGGCCTATACCGATGCAGATTGGGGCGCTGATCCAAAGTGCCGCTCACAGACTGGCTACCTCCTCAAGCTTGCAGGAGGAGCTTTCATCTGGAGCTCATACGCACAGAAGTCAGTTGCTGGTTCTACCAAAGACGCCAAATACATGGCTCTCAGCAATTGCAGCTGCGAAGTTATGTGGATATGCAACATGTTCCATTAACTTGGCTACAAATATTGCGCTGTACCTATCTGCAGTGACAATCAAGGCACGCTGTTTGTCTCAGAAAATGCAGTCACTGAGAAGCACACCAAGCACATTGACATTTGCTACTACTATATCTGCAATGTCATTGAGCAAGGTCATGTTGAGGTACTCTTTGTACCTGGTATAGATAATCCAGCAGATATATTTACAAAGAATCTGGGTTGGGACTGTTGGGTTGAAATCCAAAAGTTCTGACCTATGCTTGGGCTTCACTTTGCAGCTCATTAGTGCAATCAACCAACTTACAGGTGAGTACAACCTG